GGGCGTGGGAAGGGAACGTCCACCTCAGAACTGAGGGGACCGGGCGTGGGAAGGGAACAGCCACCTCAGAACGGAGGGGACTGGATGTGGAAAGGGAACATACACCTCAGAACCGAGGGGACTGGGCGTGGGAAGGGAACGTCCACTCAGAACTGAGAGGACTGGGTATGGGAGGTCAGGCTGTTTAAGATAAAGGGGCTGTTGAGATCAACGTAAGCCCCGACTGGTCCCCTCTGTCCTCACTTCATTCCTACTCCAGCCCATCTTTTCTTCCCCTCACACTACCCCCAAGTGCTCTCTCCTCTTAGCTCCCCATGAACTTAAACTAAAAGTGAAGCTGATCAAATTAAAATTATGTGGAAGCACGGTCGTATTTCATAAACCCCACTCTCATCATACCAGTAGCCCCGAGAATAAGTAACCACCAGTTGCCCGGAATAAAGATTGAGAAACAGGCTTATCCCAAATCCACAGGTCAGTTTCAATAATGTTTACTGTACTTATTGCTGCGTTACCCTTAAATTCTGAGCTGACACACAAAACATATGAGACAACTGAAGAAATACGAACCTCCACTTTATACTTGATCATACTGGGGAATGTTACTAATGTTGATCCTTTTCTTTTAGAGATTCCTACTGAAATATTCATGGAGGGAACGGTATGGTGGTGTGATTTGTTACAAAATAATTGAGGGGTGGTGAGTGGGGTGCTCAGATGAGATAAATCAGTCATAAACTGATAACTATTGAAATACTCAGGGTTCACCATGCTGTTCCCTTTATCTTTGTATGTATTTTGAAAATTTTCACAACCAGTTTTAAAGATTTTATTTATTTATTTTTCCCCGAAAGCCCCAGTAGATAGTTGTATGTCGTAGTTGCACATCCATTCTAGTTGCTGTATGTGGGACGCGGCCTCAGCATGGCCGGAGAAGCGGTGCGTCGGTGCTCGCCCGGGATCCGAACCCGGGCCGCCAGCAGCGGAGCGCGAGCACTCAACCGCTAAGCCACGGGGCCGGCCCCACAACCAGTTTTAAAATCATGAGTTTATTACTTTCAAATACCCTATATGTATGCTTGCCTTGCCAACTTAATATGCCTTTTTTTAGTCTATATTTATTTTAAAATGTAAGTGATTAATATTAAGGTATATAATCCAAATACACAGACAGTACTTGTAGCTACACACAGTTACTGCACACAAGAGCTTAATGATTGTGGACAGACACACATCACAGAGCGTACCTGGCAAGCTGCCCGAAGAAAGCTGGACAGTCTTGGCGTGTCAACCTTTGGTACAACTGCAGCATCAGAAAGATCTGTACTCTCACTGCCTAAAAGAAAAAATAAGTTAGATAAAACAACCAGGTCTACACAGAAATCAAAATATAATGATGTACACCTGAAATTTATATAATGTTATAAATCAATGTTACCTCAATAAAAAAAAAAAAAAAACAGGTTGACTCTAAAACAGTCACACATTACACACCTTAGAGTTCAGAGGTGTTACAAACAGACTCTTAAGAGCCCTGGAAGGAAAGTCAGAAAGTTTACATTTTATTCTCTAGATCTACTTGCGATTTCTTCAAAAACAATAACATTTTGTTTTATAGAAAGTCTGTAAATGGGATCCTATTTAAATGCATTAAGCAAAATAGTTAAAGGCATCGATTTAACTATTACGTAAGTGACACGTTTAGGTATATTACTTTCTTAGGGTGAGGCTTCCCTGAGGAAAGGGAGTAAAAGGATTCCCTGCCACACAGAGACAATTTCTCAGAATAAACAATCAGCTAGTAAAGTAATATTTAGCCTATAAATAACTGGAGAGAACCCAGTGTAAGCAGAACACTGTGTATTCCAGGGGCCTTCCGTCTACACTGATGCAACATGTCCGGAAACTGTACTTAAAATATGAAAATTCTCTATTAATGAAAACAAACTGTCCTCAACTTAATAGCAGAGAGCATTCCAGAAGCCCATTTGTAAAGTGCTTGCTTAGAACGTGGACTCTTTTCCTTACATTTTGGAATAAAAGTGTTACAAACCCTGGTCAGGGCTGTGACCAGGCCTCTAGCTCAGCGCTAATGTTAGTGGTTCATAAAAGCTAGTTTGCTCCTGTAAAGAATACTGGGTATTTCCACAGTCACATACTAAGATCCACACCCAAGAGAAAGATATAACAGGAAAGAACAAGAAAGGTAATAAACATGACACCAAAAATAAAACAGACATTCAACTGTCAGTAGTCAAGAGCAAACAGCCATTTACCCCCAGACACAGCCGTGCCTTCTCCTGGATGCTGGGTCCACACTTCCCTTGTCTCTATCTCTTCAGTCTGAACATCTCTTTCAACATTATCTTCATTATACTGAACATATGCCTTAAAAACAAAGGTGTGCTAGAATTAGCACTGGGTCTCAACTTTAGAGCAATTTCTCATTACTGAAAAGAAAAACAAAATCTTTAAAGTTAATAACTTTATTGACAAAAATAAGTATCATAGCATAAATGACAATCATGCAAAGACTGCTTGTGTCATAAGTGTTTGATATATATAAGCCTAATTTTCAAAAGTGTTTTTAAAAAGTCACGTCAAACTATTTAGCTTTGGTTTGAAAATACTACCACCTAGCCCAACAACATCCTGTTCTCCTAGAACATACTGGCTTTGCAAAACCAAACACAATTTTTTTATTTCAAAAAGGTACATGCTTCTAAAGACAGTTTTGTCACTAAGAGCTTTGAGATAAGGAAAACAAGTTAGATAATCTACTCAAGGTCACAGTGAGTCACTACAAAGCCAGGACTAATCTGTCAGCTTCTTGAGTTTCACCCTGTGACCTTCTTCCTATTGTAAGAGTATTATGGATTGAATGTACCCAAGAGTATGTTGATTGATGCCACTATTAGAGACACCAGCAAAACGCGAGATGGTCCCTGACTTCAAAAACTTTAGTCTTGTTTGGGACTATCACAAAATTAATGACTGGAAATATTACAGGGAAGTACAAAATTGTATGGGATAGATTGTAGCAACTATGGGATAAGAGAGAATTCAGTATGAGTCATTTGGGAAGATTTCACCTAGAGAAGAGGCCATGGATAGAGAAACAGACACGTAGATGAGAGAAGGGGAGGATGGACATAAGCGAGGTAAGAGAGAAACACAGGTGGATCAGAAGGGACATGGAAGGTAACAGAGAAACACAGGTGGATGAGGGAGGGCCTAGAAGGTAACAGAGAAACACAAGTGGATGAGGGAGGGCCTAGAAGGTAACAGAGAAACACAGGTGGATGAGGGAGGGCCTAAAAGGTAACAGAGAAACACAGGTGGATGAGGGAGGGCCTGGCACACTGAGGGACCTGTGGGTCGGGGGGTAGAATGGAGCAGATATGATGGATACAAAGGTGAGTCCAGACCATAGGGAGTCCAGGAAGCACTGTGTGGGCAGTGCTTGGAGACCTTTGCATTGTAGGATTTCATGCAGATGTGTAGGGTTGCTGCACCCTCACCAGGATCCCAAGCAAGGGATCCAAATGTGACCTTCTGCTCGACTTTCAATAAATCATCTGCTCTTCAAGAAGCTGTCCTCAGAGTCTGGCAGTGTGCCCCATTCCATCCACATGGGCCATCCATCCCTGCTCAGGAGCCTTGGGAGCATCTGTGAACATGTGCATAATTTCTCCAGCCCAACCAGCACCATGTGAGGGGTTCCCTTTTTCCTCAAGCCTATATCCTCCACACATCAGTCCCAAGGACTAATCTTCCAGAAGATACGGTACATGGCATAAATTCACCTCATTGTACTTTACTTGCATTGTGTCACTTAGTTAAGACTCCTTGTACTAACCTGCTTGGTATTTTTTTTCCCAAAGTTTCTGATATACATGTCATATTCATTTACTGGTGGTAGATCCAGGATAGACAGAGTGTATGAAAAATCTAAGTCAATAAGCCGAAGCAGTTTTGTGCTGCGAGTCCTTCAAAATAAATTGGAAACAAGAGAAAAGTTAAAATGAACAATATACAAGGGAAATATAGGGAAAGTGTAGAAACCTGATGATCAGATGTAGGTTGTCATCAAGGACCCAATTTCTGTTTGGGTGTGAGTCTGAGGCATTTAACAGTTAAAAATAAGACAGTCACCCATTGGTGCCAGCCCCACAGCGTAGTGGTCAAGTGTGCGCGCTCCACTGCTGATGGCCTCGGTTCGGATCCTGGGCGCGCACTGACACACTGCTTGTCAGGCCATGCTGTGGCAGCATCCCACATAAAGTGGAGAAAGATGGGCACGGATGTTAGCTCAGGGCCAGTCTTCCTCAGCAAAAAGAGGAGGATTGGCATGGATCTTAGCTCAGGGCTGATCTTCCTCACACACAAAAAAAAAGACAGTCACCCATGGACGAACGATGTCAGGGTACCTTGAACCAAATTTTTGATTATTCTAATTCAGCGCACCTGAGGTTAACACAAAATAAAGCTATAATGTATGTACGCCTAGAATTTTCATGGAAAGCAATTCACTTTATCTCATGAATTGATGTCTTGACTAGAAGGATTCCATTTTTGTGACGTCACCTGGGCCGGAGCCAGACAACACAGCTTGTCAGGGGTGCCTCCCTTTTCAGCCCACTCTTCTTGAGGCTATGAGAGACCTGTTTCCCATAGGACTTGACCACAGCAGCATCTGACACCACTGTCTGCCCCTCTTCCCCGAAGAGGCTTCCAAAACACTGCGTGCCCTTGGTTTTCCTCTGGCCTCACAAATCGCCTGAACTGGTCTCTCCTTTTCTTCCAGACACCCAGGGATCAGTCCCTGTATTCCCTGTGTGTCACCCCCCACTGGAATATAAGCCCTGCACAGCCCTGCATGAGCAGCCAGTTTTATGTCTTTCATTTACTATGATTTCCGCATAGCTGGTGCTCAAGCAATATGTGTTGAATGAGTGAGTGAATGATCCTTCCAACATTCAGGCATCTTGATAAATTGATTTGCTCTCCCCTTCCTTTTCCACTCACTCTCAGGGTCTTTACAATAACTGCCACCTTCCCATAATATTCTCTGAACACCATCGCCTATCTTTCCAACTTTTTTTTTTTGCTGGGGAAGATTTGCCCTGAGCTAACATCTGTTGCCAATCTTCCTCATTTTGTATGTGAGCCACCGCCACAGCATGGCCACTGACAGACAAGTGGTATAGGTCCACGCCTGGAAACCAAACCCAAGCAGCCGAAGCAGAGCGCACCAAACTCAACCACTAGGCCACCAGGGCTGGGCCCCAACTTTTTACCTCCAGTCCTACATCTGCAAAATTTCTTCAACCACATGGCACCTCCAACACATGAACCCTACCACTTTCCATGGTCACTCACTGATTGTGGGTGGTGTGAGGTAGGGGTTCAGGGGTCCTTGTTTCCATACATACCTGATTGTTCCGGCATCACTCACCAAAAGATCAGCCTTTCTCCACTACACTGCAGTGGCAATGCCTCAATCAGGTGGCCTACATTCAAACCTGCCTCTGGACTTGACTCTGTACACTGGTGTCTCTGACTATCCATGTGACAAGAACACAGTTTTAATTACTGTAGCTTTACAATAAATCTTGATATCTGAGCTTAAGTCTTATAATCTTTTCTTCTTCAAGACTGTCTGCACTACTCTTGACCCTTTGCATTTCCACATAAGTTTTAAAATCAGCATGTTAATTTACACACACACACACACACACACACACACACACACACATCCTGCTGAGATTTTTATTGGAATACCATTGTGTCTCTTTGAGAGAAACTGATATTTTTGCTATATTAAGACTTCCAATTCACGAACATGATATGCCACCCATTTATTTAGGTCTTCTTGAATTTCAATAATGTTTATAAGTTTTCTATGTTGGGGTCTTGTACATCTTGCATTACATTCATCCTAATCCTATTGTAAATGGTGACATTTTAATATTTTTTAGTTGCTAGTATACAGAAACACAATTGATTATTGTATATTGACTTTTTATTTAGCATCTCTGATAAATTCATTCATTATTCACATTTATTCATAAATTCTAAAAGCTTATCAGTAGATTTTAAAAATTTCTATGTACATATTTATGTTGCATTGAATAATAAATCATTGTTTTGTTTTTTTCTTTCTAATCCTTACAACTTTCCTTTTTCCTGCCTTATTGCACTGGCTGGGATCTTTTACTATGTTGTATAGAAGTGATGATGGTAGACATCCATGGCTCATTCCAGATCTGAAAGGAAAAGCTTTTCACCAGCACGTATAATGTTAGTTGTAGAATTTTGGTAGATATGCTTTATCAGATAAAGCAAGTTCCCTTTAGTCCTAGTTTGCTAAGAATTTTTATCATGAATGAGTACTGAATTTTTTTTTTCTGCATCTATTAAGATGACTATATAGTTTTTCTCCTTTATTCTATTAAGGTAATGAATAACATGGATTAACTTTTCAATGTTAAACCAACCTTGCATTCCTAATTATTAGGTATTACTCTTTTTAGGTACCATTGGATTCAATTAGCTAATGTTTTATTAAGGATATTTGTGTATACATTTATAAGAAATATTGATCTATAATTCTCTCTTCTAAAGTCCTTATTAAATTTTGGTATCAAAGTTTGGCTAGCCTCATAAAAAAGGTTGGAAAGTGTGGCCTCTTATTCTAGTCTCTGGAATTCGTGAAGCCAGGAGTTATTTCTTCCTCAAACGTTTCGAAGCCTTTAATGGACAAACCATCTACACCTGTAGTTTAATTTGTGGGAAGGTTATTTATGTATTAAAATATACTTAATCGATATAGAACAATTCAACTTTTCTACTGCTTCTTGAATCTACTGTGATAAGCTGTGTTTCCCAAGAGCTGATTCATTTAAATTTTTATTGACATAAAGTTGTTCATAATACCATCTTATTATCTTTTTAATGTTTGTGAAATCTGTAGTAGTGTCCCTGTTTTCATTCTTGCCATTTATTACTTGTGTCTTGCTTTCTCTCTTTTTATCCCTTGGTCAGACTTCCTAGGGGTATATAAATTTTATTAATGTTTTCAAAGAATCAATTTTGGCTCTGTTGAATTTATTGTGAATTCCTTCAATTTTATAGATTTCTGCTCTTTTATTATTTCATTCCTTTTAATTTCTAACTTACTCTTCTTTTTCTGGTCTCTTGAGATAGATGTTTAGACCACCAATTTTCAGCCTTTTCCTTTTCTAATATGTCCCTTAGTATAGCTTTTGCTGCATCCCACAGGTTTTCAAATGCTGATTTTCATTATCACTGTTAAAAAACAGGTTCTAATTACGTGTGATTTCTTCTTTGACTCAGTTTATTAAAAAATATACTACTTAATTTTCAAACTTTTGGGAATTTTCTAATTACCTTTGTATTATTAATTTCTAGCTTAATTCCACTGTGGTCAGAAAACATACTCTATCATTTCAATCCCATGTCCACAGCATATGATCTTTTTGAGAAAAGTTCCATGTGTACTTGAAAAGAATATGGATATTGCAGTTGCTGGGCATAATTTTCAATGTATGTTAGGTGTAGTTTGTTAACCACATTGTTCAAATCTTATATATCTCCACTAAATTTTTGTCCCCACTAAATTTCTATCAGCTACTAAGAGGGGTATGTTAAAAATCTCCATCTGTGTTTGTAAATGTCTTTCTCCTTTTAGTTATGTCACGTTTTGCTTTACATATTTTGTAACTCTAGTATTGGGTTCATACAGAGGAGGACTGTTAGATTGATCTGTTGAACTGACCCTTTTATCATTATGAAGTGACTTAATTTCCAGTAATCTTCTTGGTTTCAAGTTTTCTTCGTCTGATATTAGTGACATCAGCATTATTTTGGTTACTATTTGCTTGGTATATTTTTTTCCATCCTTTTATTTTCAGCCTTTCTATGTCCTAATATATAAGGTTTGTCTCTTGAAAGTAACATATACTTGAATTATTTTTTCTCCAGTGGTACAATCTTTCTCTTTCAATTGAATTGTTTAGTCTGTTAACATAGAATGTAATTACTGATAGATTCTGGTTTAATCCACCATATTCCTGTTTTCTATTTGTTCCATAGGTCCTTTGTTCCTATGTTTCACCTTTCTTGCCTACTTTTTGATTAACCATGTATTTTTTATTATTCCATTTACTCCTCCACTGTCTTCTTAGATATAAATTTTTTGCACTATCTCTTAATGGTTACCCTAGATATTTCAACATGCATTCCTGATCTCTTAAAATCTACCTTACATTAAGTACTTTCACCTCTTCCTGACAGGACCTTACATAATTTATTAGCCCCCCTTCCTCTGCCCCAATTCTAATACAGTCACGTGTCACTTAACAAGGAGGACACATTCTGAGAAACGCATTGTTAAGCGACTTCATGGTTGTGCAAACATCATAGAGTGTACTTACACAAACCTAGATGGTATAGCCCACTACACACCTATGGTACTAATCTTATGGGATCAACATCGTATATCCAGTCCATCATTGACTGAAACGTTGTTATGGGGTGCATGACTGTACTACATTGTGAAGTAATTTAATTTCAAATACATTTAAATCCCAGAAGATGTTACTGTTACTGCTTTTTGCAGTCAGCATTAATTCCTATTCACCACACCCTGATCCTTCCCTTCGCCACTGTTTCCTTCAGGTTTCTGTGTTTTCATCTGGGGTCAATTTCCTTCTGCCTGAAAAACTCCTTTAACTGTTTCTTTTAGTGTAGGTCTGCTGGCAATGAGTCCTCATGGCTTTTGTGGGTATGAAAATGGCTACCTTTTGCTTTCATTTTAAAGAATATTATTTACTAGGTACAAATTCTTAGCAGCAATTTTTTTTCAGCATTTTAAACATATTTGTCATTGTCTCTGGTTTACACTGTTTCCTTTGAACATTTAGCTTTAAGTCTTACTGTAACTCCTTTTAAGGTAATGGGTCTTCCCCACCCCACTCCAGCTGTTTTTAAGATTTTTTTCTCTATCTCTGGTTTCAGCAGTTTGAGTATATGGTGTCTAGATGAACTTTGTTTATATTTTTGGTATTTGTATTTATCCTTCTTGAGTCTCTTTAAGTTGTAGTTTGACAGCTTTCATCACTTCTGAAAAGTTCCCAGGCAGTATGTGTTCAAACATTGCTTCTGCCCCAATCCTTCTCTTCTCTTTCTGCAACGCTACTTATACGTATGTTAGGTTATTTTTGTTCTCACTCTCACACAGCTCTTACAGTATTCTCTGTATACTTCCACCCTTCTTTATCTCTGTGCTTCAGTCTGAACACCTTCTACCGTCCTCTCTTCTGGTTCATCAATCTTATCATCTCTAGTAACTTGCTGTTAAACTTACCTACTGAAATCTTCATTTCAGTTTATTTTGTGGGGAGGGTTCCAGAATTTCCTTGATTCTCTCATAGATTTCAGTGTTGTGTTGAAATTCATCTTTTTACATCTGTTTTCTTCAACATATTACTCATCACTATTACAAAATCCATAACTGATAACTGCACTATCAAGATCACATACAGGTCTATTACTACTCTTTGTTTTTTCTCTTAGTTTTTGGTTATTTGATTCTAATTCCTAGTATGCCTAGTAATTTATTGAATATCAAGCACTGGATAGGAAAAATTGTAGAAACTCTGAATACTGTCATTTTTCTCCAAAAAATATTTACTTTTCTCCTGGGAGGCAGAGCACAGGCAGATCACACTGAGCTAAGCAGGGCTCGGTTTCGGGGTTTGTGAGATCTGGTCCACTTCTGATTCGCCCTTTTCCTAGAGCAGAGGTCTCAACTACAGCCTGGGATTGTTATCAGGGAAACTGGAATGTTTGTCTCCCCAGCCCTGTGAGAATGTCACAAGTTCTAGGCCACCACTTTCTGTTTAAGGTCTGCCTTGGGAAAGACAGCAGCAAGTCCCGGGGGTGGAATGTGGGGATCATCTGGACGTGTCCTGTCTCTCCAGTACCTTGGTCTCAAGTCCTGGCTGTCTTGGTTTCTCTCAGTGGCTTCGATCAGCTTTTTTTTTTTAATCCAGCTTTTACAGTTGCTTTTAGTAGGACGTATTTTCACATATTCACTGACAGCCTAATTTCTTCTACTGGGAATTAGCTGTGTGTCTTACCACCCGGGGTCCCTCTGGGGGAAGGTCCAGGGAAGCAGGTAAGACAGAGTAACACACTGTTTCTCTCCCTCCCTGGCTTGGGCGGCTGGTCCCCACTCCCTGTCTGGCTGAGGAGCAGGCTGCCTCCTGCCCCTGCTTAGCTCCTCAGCCTTCCCAACACCTGTGTGATAACCCCCGGCATCACAGCCTTGTGTTTAAACACTCATTCAGTTTCTGTGTCACTGCCTGGATCTCCAGGCTTACATGACCTCTGCCCATTTTTAACTAGGGATATTTAGCTTTGCTTACTAAATTATAAAAACATTTTATGCATTAGGGATAGTAAACCTCTATCATTTTTGCAAATATGTTTTCTCAAGTGGTTAATTACCTTTAAATTTTGTCAAATTCATGGACTACTGTACCTTATAGAAATTTAATATTTTATTTTTTATTTGCTTTTATTCTTAGAAAGTCCTTTCCTATCACTGAAATAGTTACTTATATTACCTGTACTCTTTTATTCATTTATCTTTTCACTCCATCTGAATTTATCTTCGGTATACTGTGAAGCAGGTATCTATTTTCCCCCAAATTTCTAATTAATTTACTAAATTTACATCTAGCACAAGTGCTCAACAGTTTACATTTTTCTTCTTTGTACCTTTATTTCCTTACAACACACAGAGATATAAATGACAGGACCCACCCATGATCCTATAAAGTACTCCTATATTTTCCTCAAAAACTTTTGATTCTCATTTATCATCAATCCATTCATGTTTCAGCTTTTAAATTTTTAAATTTTTCTTTTAAAACCTTTAATATAATTTTTGATTCAAAATAATTCATGTAATATACTTACACTTTACATATCATAATACAGTTAACATCCTGGGACCCAGGGCCCAAGACCAGAACCAGAAAAAGACCGACAACCCGTACCCACTCAGGGCCCTTTCACGACAAGCACTACCCGGAATTTGGTAATTACCATTTTCTTGCTTTTTAAAATATAATTTTATCTCATATTATACATGCTTAAACAACATACTACGTGGTTTTGATTGTTTCTGAGTTTACAAAAATTGTGTTAAACCATACGTAGTTTCTGAGACTTGAATTAGGTTAAAAAAAAAAAACCCTAGCCATAGTGGCAGAAACTGGTTTTACCATCTCAACAGGAGGCCCAAAATATAAGGACAACAAAAATGCTGTGAAAATTGTTACTTTTATTATTAATGATTTATCTGTTCATTTAGCAAAATTTACTGAGTTCTTACTAGGCCATGGACTGAGCTAGATGATATGATGGATTTTAAACCCACTTGTTAAAAACAAGTTTAACGTTTACACTTACTCCTAAATCTTATTTGGGTTTCACATGGTACACCCTTAACTGGAGACTCTATCTTTGACTCGCATAAATTCCTAAACTTACGGTAACTGGAAGGCGGACTTTGACGTCTGGTAGCCCTGAGTTCAAAACTCAGCTCCACATTCCCCAGACGTCGCCCTCGAGCCTCCCTTCCTCATCTATAAATGGGGCTGTGAGGATCTACGGAGGTAATTCCACTTGGGAAGCACAGTGCCCAGGGCTCGTAAGAAAAATAAGCACTTCACGCGTGTTACTGACTGTAGCACTCTTGACCATTAAGAATTCCTCCAGCACGTCCTCATCTGAAAACAGACAGCAACACTCAGCCTGCAGGGCTGTCCCAGCGCTGAGTGACGCTAACTGCACCTCGAGCAGGAGCGACACACAGACGCAGCGTGGGCCAGGCCACTCTCTGCTGACGCGGGCTTCCGGCCACCAGCTTTGTGAATGTGGGATCGTGATTCTGCCTCAGCTCAAACAGGGTGTGACTCCCAGGGTAACTCCAGAATCTAGTGAACAGCAGCGCACACAACTGCACTATTAACAGAATAGGTGAACACCAAGAAATGTAGTACAAATTAAAGAATGCGCCTAAACAGTCAGCAGTGAAAATAAAATGCAAAGCTATTTTTTTAAAGTATGTTGAAGGTAAGTATATTAAAACTCCATAATACCTTTCACAAATTTCCCAATACACCTACTTTTGCTTAAAGGCCTGAGTCCGACTCCTTTGACGGTGTGAGGCTCTTGCAAAATCCACAAAAATTCCACAAACAGGGGCTCTGGAAGGGGAATTGTTTGCATCTGTACAAAAAAAAATCTATTTTTCTGAAACTGAAATATTTCTTTCAAGCAAAAAACTCAAAAGTAGAACAATTAGAAGCATATATAACAATGATACTCAATAAGGTCTTTACACACAGCTAATGATAACAATGATAGTCTTCCACGATCTGCTTCTGCTTATTTCATCTAAAACCTTCAGGCAACAAAGCAAAATTTACTGTATATGTGCCAATCACACTATTAAAATTTTCAGAAATATTTAATAATTCATATAAGATACAGTCTTACGCTCCCACCTCACTTTCCCCATCCCCCCTCCAAAAAAATTTATCCTCTAGTAAGGGAATTGGGACATGAATATACAAAATAGCTAAAACACAGAAACAGACACAAGTTAATACTGGAGCAGTCATTCACTATGTCAAAGACAGAAAACAATGGCAATGCAGGCGTGCGTTTCATCAGAGACTTTACAGTGTGCAGAGATGTGGGCAGACTGGTGAGCACTTACAGCACTGGCTTAAAAGGCTTCTATCACAACGAACAGCTCCACTCACCACCCTCCTGCAGACAGGACGGTCCTCACTTCGCCTCCCCCCCGGAGGCGGGGCTTCCTGTGGCTTCCTGTACGCATTTACCCACATATTTGTGTATGTATTTATTTAATTGTACCTTGATCTATCTTCTCATTCCCTTTGGATATGTGTTTGAACTCATCAAAAGAGCATGAGCAATCCAGCCTTCCTACAGTTTTATCAAATCCACAAGGCCAGCAGGACAGAAGGAACACCCAGATCTGGGCTGGAAGACCCGAGTTCAAGGCCCAGTTCTGCCATTACTTGCTCTGTGACTGTGAGCAGGCTGTCCATCTGTGCACCTCCACTTCCTCACTTGTCAGAACGTCTACCACACAGGGCTGTTATGAGGATTAAAGCAGGTCGTGTTCATGAGAAGTATTCTGCCAGCTGTAAAGCCCCATATAAATACTAAGAGATAACTTTCGAATATTGTTCCAGCTTTAAAATGAGGAAACTGGCCAGTGTTTAAAGTCACAGGATTAAGACTAGAATAAAGACACCCCTAGAGCAGGGCTCGCATGTGCCAGGTGTCAGCACCCAGGAAATACTTATTTACTGACCAAGTAAATGATTTACCTTTTGGAGGCACATGAACTCTTTCAAATACCATGGCGTAACTTAGTGCGCTGGAAAAAGTTATTATCAAATGGTTTCCTCTTGCCCTGAAAAAGGAGAGGTGTGCAGTTTATAACCAAATAGGCCAGTCACCAGAAGGTGCAGCAGGGTGTTGCATAAAAATAATACCATGACGGCTGGGGCAGGCCACATAGGATACAAAAAAAACAATGCTCTCTACCAGCTACTAGACGATGGCGATTAACTAATAACTCACATTCATTACGCTTAGTATGTGCCTGAAACTCTTTTAAGCACTTCACATGTATTAGCTTATTTAATTAATCCTCACAACAACCCTAAAGAATGCCTTATCCTTATTTTACAGATAAGGAAACAGAGGCACAGAGAGGGTAAGTAACTGCCCAAGGTCACACAGCCAGTAAGTGACAGAGCCACAGAGTGATGACATTAATACTCTGCCTGCCTCTGCTTGCTCCACATTAAATGGGGCCAGAGGGCCACTCTAACACTATCTGCATAGCGATGTATATCCGAGTGAATAATTCCTTCAAATAAAAAATATAACAAAAAATAATGCCTAATATTGGGGGTTGTAAATTCTAATCTTATAAATCAGGCTACTAAAGGATATAATGCTCAGCACAATGTAGGACACGAATAACAAAAAAAAAAGTGTTATTCAAAAATCTGCTAAGAAAACCAGGCTTCAGAATAAAATCTTGCACACTCCCCAGCAACTCCACAACAGGCAAGCTGTGGAAGCTCTGACAAAAACCTCCTCATGTGCACCTCCGCTCCACGGTGAAAAATCACAAGTGCGGGCTCTTGCTAGATACCACCACCACAGGACAGCCACCCCTGGCTTCAAAGACAATTTTTTAGCTATAAATTTAGAGAATATTCTATATATCAGCACTCCCCAGCTGATATCGTCCAATAATATTTTTAATATTGTCTTATTTGACCTTTTGTGCTTTTAGCGCCAATTTTTTATCAGCATATCAGTTTTCCGTTTAAGTGTTTTTATAATATTTACTCCTACTCTTACAAGTAACTTTATCATATCCAGACGCCAAGAATTTCTAAGCAAAATGCATTTCTAATCTCATAAAGAAAAGCCCTGGAAAGAAAGGCTCACTTAGGCCTGCTCTTGAGAACACTCTCCATGGGCCACAAGCCTGAAACTAGCACCGCCTGGCCCGGGGCCTGCCGCCGCACGATGGCTCTCATCTGCTGACACTTTTGAGCCTCCTGCTGACAGCGTCACTTTCCTTTGTGGAAACTCAAGGACAGTGGCGTCAGAAACACAAGAGCACGTGCCTTGGACGGGGCAGACAGACAACAAGACAAATGCACATGGCTGCACCCAGGCCTGGTGACTCCTGCTCGAGGGTCTCCAGAATGACATGTGCTCACAGCCACCCTGGCCCAGGCGCTGTGCAGAGAAGGTACTGCAGCTTCTTTCCATGAGGGAATCCTTAACACGTCATCAGTGTCTCTGAGTGCCTAAGCATCATCACGGGAGCGTGAAATGCTTCCCTGTCTGCCCCCTGATTAGAACCATTCCACCCATAACACATCTGTGGGGCTTCAGTGCCCAGTGTCCTGAGAGCGTTGACACATCAGCACTTACTCACATACCCAGCCCGGAGGCCCTTTCACATTCTACTCTTCCCTGCTTCTGAAACAGTTTCAAAGACAACTCGCCAATCCTTTCATTTTCTGCATTGATGGCCTCTTGAATTTCTTGTATCTCCCTTTTTCTGGCTAGAGGAAGCTCTTCGATTTTTTCTCTTGATTCTGGCTCATTAGTGCTATCATCATCATCTCCATCACAAACCTCAAAGTCATCTTCGTAGTCCTACAAACAAAATAATGTTTTTTGGAACCTTCAAGACAAACTGACTTTAAGAACATTCATACAGAACAAAACATACAATTCACAATTTAAAATAGACAAATTCCTCATTATGTCTAAGAAAGATTTTCATAGTTTGCTGATTTTAATGTCATTGAATTATAAATTTGTATAAACTGCTGCATTTGTTTCTCTAAAAATGAACCACACTTATAGAACTACGTAGACTAAGAGCTCTTAATAACAATAATGTGCAAACATTTCTGTGCTGAGAATGTGAAAGTGTATGTGTATAGACATATACGGACTCTAATATACTCTAATACATACACACACATGCATATACATATACACGTGTACACGCATACATGTATACATATACACATGCATATACATACATTTGAATGCAGTACACTTAAAAATGGGTTAAATTGTAAAATCATTTAATTATATCATATTGGTAGAAGTACAGCAAATCTTTTAAAGGTAACAGATCTAAATCAAACAGATAAGGAGTATTAAAAGTAATAAAAAAAAAAAGAGAAAAAAGCTATTAAGTTACTACACTTAAGCTGATGTTAAAAACAAATTATTTTTGAGCCGAGAAAAATTTTAACTTTTATACATACTTCACAATCATCTTCAAAACTCGCTATATATTCATCAGCTCCAGCATTTTCTAAACCAATGTCTTCCTTTTCGATTTCCTAGAGGTAAAAATCAAACACATAAAAAAATTCAATCATAAATCTGAATCTTGCAAATAGAGTGGGAAAATACATGTTTTCTGAGATTCATTTGATGTCGTAATTTAAAAATGTAAGTATTTACAAAACCAACATAACCTAATTTCAAATTCTTTAAGAAACACGCTGCTATCTTTTAAGTATGACCAAAAAGAGAAAACAGTTAAGAGACATATTCTTTTTGAGAAACCGCTATAATTCTGATGGCTTACGAAAAAAAGCGTTATACAAATCACTTCCAAACTTCCAGCAATGCCTCTCCCTACTTCACTCCTTACCCATGAACATATCCCCACGTGTGCACCACTAAGAACAGATGCACAGACAAGTGTGCTCGAGTACACGCCAGCCAGGTCCTGTCTGAACCGCCACATGCTCCAATGGCTGAAATATCAACTGCAAGGTCTCAGGCTATGAAGTTCTCACTCAGCACAGCCCTGCCCCTTTCATTTAGGGGAGACAGGCTGCTCCGGTCCTGGTTTCCCCTTAGTATTGGAGTGCCTTGGTCATCACTTGACCACTCCAAGCCTGAATTTTATCACCCATAATCTGGGGATAAACAGAGGGATTCTCTAAGTCTTGCAGTGGGAGGCATGCTCAGTTGTGCTCTGGAGGTCTGGGGAGGCTGCATAGAGCACCCTAAGGCCATCCTCGTCTGGGTCTTAAGGATGAGTAAGAGGTTACCGGAAAACCAAGTAGAAACACATTCCAGGTTTCCAGGCTAAGAGGGTAGCAGAAACGAAATATATGTTTGGAAATCTCATATTTTCCTCCAAAAGCTGCTCCTCCTCTTATCCATATCTGCTCTCCCATGCCCTATTCACTGGCAATACAGCACCTCCGTATCACAGAAGCCCACGTATTGGGAGCCCTCCAGGCCCCACACTCACCCCCACCTGAGAGCAGAACTCCAGCATCTCTCCAGGCCTGACCTCCTCTCCACCCCCGTCCCTGCCAGGTCCGCTCCCGTCCTCTCGGAGTTCTGATTATACCACACCCGTGTTCAAACCTAAGCAGCTCCTCTCACACATCGCACGTTCGTCAAAGGGGCTTCAATTTCTACCCCGAAGGAGGGGAAACAAAACGCGCCTGTCCCCAAGATCCTCTGGTGCCCGCAGGCAGGATGGACTTGGGTGCAGACAAGAAGAGGCTAGACTCGAGACGCTGGTGAACCGGCCACTGTGAGAACCCTGACGAGGGACGGTGACCCGGGCTCCGGGACAAGGAGGAGAAGACTCCCAGGTTTTCAGACTAAAAACTGGGCAGATGTCAGTGCCATCGATCAGTACAGGGATGGGGGAGGGACAGTGAACTTGGGGACGGGAAGCGGAAACGTCAGCACAGCTGGATGTGGTGAGTGTGAGGAGGAAGGGTGGAACATTCTGGAGAAGGTGGACTGACAGACTTGGAGCTCAGAAAAGAGGTCGGGAAGCACTCAGCGATGCATCTGCCAACTGGAAGAGTCATCTTCTATCTCCAGAAGCTGGTGAACTGCCATGCAGTCAACAGCACTATAAAATCAACGATTTATGCCAGAAAGACATCCAGCTGCTCCTCACAAGTGGATATTCAGTTCTGACTTTCCAGATACAAACGAATTCCTGTCTGCCCACAGGACTGAGAGGATTATTTAGCATACTTCATCACCTGCAGGTTGGGGAAGAGTTATTTTGAGCAAATACTTTACAGGAAAAAGTGCCCCATAAAAAAGGTCCTTTTGGCACACTATCATATAAAGTCACTGTACATTATAGTGAATGACACATACTACATATATTGCACCAACAAATAGGAGACCTGCTGATTGATAAAAGAAACAAAAACAAATGTTGTACAGGAGTTTTAAACAAAACTCCCAGCATCGCACTGCTGACTCACGTTCAACCTCACTAGACCCCAGTGACTCTGCCCCACATCCCACACAATCCATCCATTCAGCAAACACAGCGCCTGTAGTGTGCCAGCTCTCCGCCAGGGGAGGACAGGGTCAGCACATCACCTCTTTACACAGCTAGAATGCAGCTGGGGATGATGACAAGAAGGTGTTATTGGCAGAAGCTCAACCGTCCCTCCCTCAGCGGCATTAAGCAGAGGGCCTTCTGACTTACCAATCAGTTTTGGAAAGAAGTCCTCAGAGAATCAATGATCCTTTCTTAAAAGAGAATAGTGCCATCTCCTTGAACTCTCTCAGAATAACAGATATTTCTGAAAATCATCTGTTACCTTGAATATTTCTCACTGACAATGGTTTGAATCATGTCTTTTGTAATGTCTCTATTTCTCCACACACATCTTGAATTTAAACGCAGAGCAACGATGAGAAGGCTGGCTATTGACTCGACCTGAGCCTCTTCCCTGCAAGCTCTTTGCAAACGCTTCCCCTGTCTTCCACGCAGAGGATGGCTGCGGCACCTGACAGCGTGCACGACAAGCCAGTCACCTCCTTCCAGCCCCATCACCAAGACTGCCTTCAACACAACCGAGGGGTCTCAAACAAGAGTGAATAGAAACATCACATTAAAACTAAAATCTGGGCCGGCCCTGTGGCTTGGTGGTTAAGTGCGCGCACTGCGATGCTGGCGGCCCGGGTTCGGATCCCGGGTGCGCATCGAGGCACCACTTCTCTGTCCATCCTGAGGCCGAGTCCCACATACAGCAACTAGAAGGGTGTGCAGCTGTGACATACAACTATCTACTGGGGCTTTGGGGGCAAAAAATAAATAAAATCTTTAAAAAAAAAAAAAAAACTAAAATCTCTTCCCTCCCTTCATGCCAATGTTCTGTTGCCTAAGAGGAACAGTAAATACCCTAATAAAGTGGTCCTACTCGACAAGGAAATGCAAGAGGAAGCCTGTGTGTGGACAGAACTGACAAGACACAAAAAGACCGGCTCTCCTTACCACAGTGTCCTCACTTCCTTGCCTTCGAGCCTGCGTCCACACTGAAGAGCCCTCTTTGCGGCCATGCTGGAGGACAGAGCACAGTCAGGGTCAGCCAGCAGAGGGATCAGACCCCACCCACACCTCTCACGGAGGTGCTGCCCTCAGCAGTCAGAGACTTGGGTCCTGGCTCTGAGGTGTAGGAATGGGGTGACTTGGGGCAAGTATCGTAACCTCTGTGCCTGGGTCTTCTCCTGAGAGATGGGGAGAAAAGGGGACCTACTTCCCAGCGCCAGTGAGAGGAGCAAATAAAACCAGCCCTGCGCCTCAGCCAGGAAAAGCTGTGGGCACTGGTACCAGGAAGGCACAACTCAGACGTCACTGCCCAAAACCACTCTGTGCATAAAATGGGACAGTACCGTGTCAACCACAAAGAAAATACGGAGTTCCCATGTGCCCAGAAGATTATTATGGGATACTGTAGGTTCTCCATAAACGCTGAAGAATTACACCAAGATAAATTCAGTGTTGATGCTATAAAATAAACGACCTAACCACAAGCCAAAACAAGCTGTCAAATATCTTCAAGATCACTTCTGGAATCTTTCAGGGGAAAAATATATCACATATTTTGCTCCTTTGCCAAGAAAAGAATAGAAAATGTCTTGATAATTTTTTATACGGGTTACATGTTGAAAGGATAATGTTTCAGAAATATTGTATTATACAATATATGTTATTAAAATTAATGTTATGTTTCCGTGTTACTTTTTTAATGTGACTACGAGAAAATTTAAAATTACAAATGTGGCTCACATTATAATTCTAGTGAACAATGGTAACCTAGAGCTTACAAAAAAGTGGGAAACAAAAGGAAAACATTAAAAAACTGCATATTTTCATCCAATAACTCCATTCCAAGAAATTTATTCACAAAAAGTATGAGGGTGATCTCTGCTGTTAAAACTGGAGGGATTCCCACAATGAATTAGGAAAGACAGTATGCTGCATGGGGCGTGCATGTGTAAAACAGAAAAAAGGCATCTAAAACCCTCATATATATCAATAAAGGACTGTAAAAGATGATATAAGAAAAGAAGGTTATATGGGAACAAATATTTGTAAGGGTAACGTTTTTTCCTTTGATATGGCTCTAGCTAGATAGTAAGGATCCAACCACCAGGCAAAACTGAATGAATAAAATGTACCCATAACAAAACACACATCATACAGCCTAATTTACATAAAATTATGTGTCTGTGTGTACATATATGGAATAAAGAGGTACAAAAAATATGGCACAAAATGTTAAAGATGATTGTCTCAGAGTCATGAGTTTGAGGTAACTACCAAAGAAAGAAAAAAATTATTCTTCAGAAATAATAGAAGCCAAAATCTGCTTGTCACATTATCAATAATAACAAAACAAAAAACTAGGAAAATAGTTTGATAATAATTATAATGTCACAGTGTACCATTTTATAGTTATTAATTAATCACTATGAAGACTATTCTGATGATAATTATGAAGATGGTATAAAAATGAAGACTGGAAAAATGCTGAAATACTAAGTGAAAAAGGCAGCAGATATTATGATTCTCACTATCACAAACACACAGATAATCTGGAACACAAAACAATTATGTAAGGACAGGGAGTATGAGCGTGCGTTAGCACTTAACAACAAATGTTTGACAGAATTGGCCAGTGAGTGCACCCGAGCCTGGGCTGCTTTGTGGGAAGATTTTTAATACCACTGCCATATCCATACTCACCACAGGTCTACTCAGACTTCCCATGTCTTCTTGAGGCAGTTCCAGTAGTTTACGTCTTCCAGGAATTCTTCCCTTTCATCCAAGTGTCTAATTTGTTAGCACGAAATGCTGTCATTCTATCCATTAGTGAAAGTGGGATGCTAAAGTCTCAATTACTGTTGAATTTTCTATTTCTCCCTTAAATTCCATCGGTTTTTGCCTCTTATATTTTGGGGCTCTTTTGCTAGGCACGTGTTCATTTGTAAGTGTTACATCTTCCTGCCAAGCTCATTACTTTATCATTATGAAACATCCCTCCAGCTCTAGCGATACCTTCCGTCTCAGAGTCAATTTGTCTGACGCTAGTATAGCTACTCAAGCTCTGTTACAGCTGCTGTTTGATGGTTTATCTCATCCATCTTTTTATTTTCAATCTGCTTGAGTCTTTTAATCTAAAGTGTGTCTCTTATGTGCCTCCTGGAATCACCACTCAAATAAACCACCTGCAAAGAAGGTTTGTCTCAGGTTCTGCTTTCAAGGGGAAATGCAAACAGACTCACGGCTGATCTTACTGCATATTAAAATCAGTCTAAGTGTCTTACCTTCATTCTTGAGCCTTTATCTTTTCCATTGTTCCTTACTAAATTCTCTGCATGCCTAGAAAGCAAATATGATCAAAATGAAAATTAATTTTAAATGAAGACTTAAAAAATAAAATATTTTACATCTCAGTGACGGCTCCTATCAATATTTGATATGATTAAGAACTGCTCCAGTTTGGCAAATTTCCAAAGCATGCTTTATTAGAACTATGAATACTAAAGACTTCCTAATATCTTTGCTATTTCAGCAGTAATCAAAAATAGAAAATATCTTCAGGAGAGAGAAAAAACTGTGTTTTAACAAACGTGTGTGTGTGTAAATCTATATCCTTATAAGAGTTCTAGAAAATTCCTGTAATTTTAAGAGTCAATCCCAAATATTATTTTATATATATAATATTATTTAATATAATATTTGTATTTTCAAAAGAAAGATTTATTTTTAAATATGTTCTATTTTTTAACCATATTTTATACATTAGTTGGGACCTAAAATTAAGGCTTTCAAAAGTTCAAATTGATTGTCAATTTTTAGAACTTGTATTCACACCAATTCAACAGCATGTGGTTTAAAGGACACACAGACTGAGCAGAAGCTTCCCTGTGTGTTCCAGCAGACTGCAGCACCATCTAGAAACCGGCATCCCCAGGTTTAAGTGCTGGCTTTGCTCAAACTCGTAAGAGCACTCATTTAACATGAGTTTTGCTAATCTGTGAAAAAGAATTACCAAATATGTTTCTCATAAAGAACACATTAAAATCTGGAGCTTATATACAAAATGAGAGTTTACGCACAAACTCTAATCTGTAACCTCCACAAAACCCACACAAAATAGGTATTATCAGTTTCACCAGTGAAGAAAAGGCTCTTGCAGGGCCACCCAACATCCCAAGAAAGAGGCAGACAAGCCCTCCAGCAGGCTGGCGCCAAGCCCTTGCTCTCACTACGGCGGCAGGAGCCTCACTGACTAAGGAAGCATCTTTCATTTGTAGTCCCGACATAAACATGAGGCAGTGGGGGATTTGCGGGATGTGAACCACAAGGTAAAGGTGCCAACGGCCCACCTGCAGATGCTCTACCCTCTGAGGCTCGTGGAGTCTGCAGCAGAGGGGAGTCTCACACATTCAGAGACTCCCACACAAATAAGTTCCCCAAAGTGAGTACTGATTTTCTAATTTTGTATGAGCAAATATAAAAAAGGCAAAATCAGGCTGATAATTTATAACAAATTTCCAAGCTCCTCTAGTAAATCCAAAATATAATTTGGAGGGTTATATCTAGAATAAAGGCAGTACATCTGTAATTTATTCTCATTTACTGGCTAGAATTAGGCCCAATAAGAAAAACTCATTTTAAAGCATTCTGTGAGAACCGGGTTATACATAATAATCAACCAAAGAAGAGATATTTCTTACTGGCTGCTAGGCCCATTTCTCTTTGAACTTGTACCTCGACTTCTGTGTTCACCATTCTATCAAACAAAAAAATTCCACAACCATTAATCAACCACTGTGAATTAACCTCAATTAGTAAACTCTGTAAAACAAGCATGGACTCAAAATTTAACAACAGCATCTACACTACAGGTATCTTTTAAAATAACTGTCTTTACTAGCTGTCTTTAGTAAATTAGGTAATTAATATCAGGGAGATGAATAAAGGTATACTAAAAGGTGATTATATATTACCTCAGTAAGTAAAGAAATTTATACTTATCAATTTCACATTATTTTCAGATAAATCAGACTAGTTCCTTACACTGTTTAAAATTATAAGCTTTCAAACATATAGAATATGGCTCTTTCACAAATGTATGCACTACAGAAAAAAAATTTAAACAATCTTCTCTTGAATCAAGTGAATTTTTAAAAATAAAATTAAAACCATTAGACTGTAAATCAACACATGTAGGTAGTTTATTTAAAAGGAGAGACATTTGTTGAGAAAGCACTGGCAGGAAGAGGAGCGTGAGGCCAATCCTGGATGATGAAGACCCGGGAGGCGGGGGAGTGTGCCTCCCTGGGGCAGAGGAAGATGACAGACCTGGGAACTGATCCATAAAAAGCACAGAGCAGAAGAACAGCAGGACTGAGCCACCCACTAGGAAAGGTCAGCCTGGAGGGCAACACACCATGGATCAAAAGCCTCAACAAGAGTTAAAAATATTCAAACACTTTCCGTGACCTATGAATTCTACTCCTAGGAAATTATTCCTAGAAAACAATCAACGATATGTACTAATATTTTCAATCTGTTCATCACAGAATAATTTATAATATCAAAACATATTAGTAACCTGAATGTTCAATATTAAATAAATGAGGTTATGACCACATGATAGAATACCAGATGGCTGTTACATATACTAGCATTAAAAAGTATTTCCCAGAATGAAAAGAAACAAGTAGCATGATTCCAATGTTGTGTTTTTAGAAAGCTCATTTACGTACAGGAAAAAGGACTGCGAGGATGTTGCAGTACCACATACTACAGAATGGATTCCCTCTGCATCTGGGATCATGGATAATTTTTGTTTTATGTTTTTATTCTTCCTCTATTTAAAAATCTTTCCAAAATTAATTAGGAAAAAGTATAATTACATATTTAACAGGAAGAAAAGTCTGACATTGGTCTATAAAATAGATTGGAATGGAAAAAGAACGAAATCAGTAGTGCTAGCTAGGAAAAAATGATGATTTAATGGCTATCTAGATATAAAAAAGAAGAAAAAGTAATCCAGTTAATTATAAGAATTAAACCTGAGGGAGAAGAGGAGACCGTGCACTGGAGGGGCCTTGACCCACGGTAGTGCCGGCTGGACAGGCTGCACTGGGAGCCAGCCATCACACGGTGCTTTATCACATTTTGAGGCCATTATCGCAATTCCTAGGACTTGGGGAGGCAGAAACCCTGGGTCTGGCACAGCGAGAGCATGAGTTCAGCGCCTTGTTTCCAAGCCACGTGGGCTGGTTAGGAGGGTTCTGGGCTAGAAACCGATGTTCACAGAGATACGTGAAGTCACTACACCCAGGAGCAGAAAGGAGCAGGATCCAGCACTCAGAGGATGAACGTGCAGCAGGCAACAGAGGCATGAGGTCACTGGACTCTTCCACTAAAGTCACTATTGGTCAGTAACCTTTAGAAGACACTTTGTTATATTTATTATGCTTAATCATACCCCCATCTCTAATCCAAAACTGGAGAAGGCACACGATAGAAAACAGACAATTAAAATAATGGATCAAAAATCACGTAGATAAACAACCAATGTTACCGCAATAAAAAAAAAAAGGAAAAAAATAAATAATAATAAATAAATAAAAAATAGCATACAGAAAAAAAATCATGTAGAGAGAGTGAGAGAGAAGTAAGGAGAACACACACTCCTGGGAACAGTCCCAGTTTATACCTGCTGTCCTGGCCTAGTGACTAACAGCCCTTGCACTTTACAGTCACCTCAGCAATAATTACATCATCACCAAGCTAACAGAGTAACTAAGTTGAAAAGTGTATTTTGAATACCTGAAAGTCAACGCAAAGAAAAAGTTAATTATCTAATGATCACTAATCACTCCTGATTTATATTATATACTCATCTGTTTATTTCTTTATCCCATGGCTTCTCCAACAGAACATAAGCACCATGAACATAAAACCTTCTGTTTTGTTCACAGCTGTGTCCTCAGCACCCAGAACAGAGGCTGGCACACAACAGCCACTCTAAATACGAACAAATCGTGTAAAAAGGAAGTCTGTCAGCTGTCAGAAGCAGCTCTTTCCTGGGACTAATTATTACGTGAATCCTCATGGAAGGAGCATTGTTGAAGGCAGTGGTTTTGTAAAGAGGCAGAACAATGTTCTTCGTGGGATCATTTCTTATATCCACCCTTATTAAAAGCCAAATGTACATTTTATGACATGTCTCAGAAAGGCATTTCTGTGGGGAACTAACAATGTCATTTCTAGTAACTAAATCTGATCTAGGGAATATAAAACAGGCAAATTCAATGTTAGTGGTAGGATCCAGGGGGTGGAAACTCTGTCAGCTTTGCTGTATGTTTAAAAATGTTCATAATAAAATGTTGGGAAAAAATACTGAAAATGTTTTATCTAGGGAAAGAAATTCAAAAGTCAAGAGGAATGAATATTTCTCCTGTCCATGAGGGTCTCATTCTCAGTTACTGTCCCCTCAATTGTTGACAACAAATACGTGGTTAGGACTGTAAACACGTGGCTGATCTCAGGGACACCCAGGGGCCCACGACACCACAAGTGTATGTACGTATAAGAGAACTGGGACTGTCCTGTAACTGCTAATAAACACGACCCATGCTCTGGTCCGAAAGGCAGGCAGTGGGCTGCACACAACAGGGTGGGCTGCACATGACAGGGTGGGCTTCAGCCCCGCCCTGCGGACAGGGGTTGGCAAAGGCCAGGAGGTTGCAAGCGAGGGGCTAACTCATCACAGGCGGCAGCACAGAGAGCCAACGGAGACCTTCCTCAGGCCAGGCAGCAACCACAAAGATTGTGCAGGATGTCCTTAACACAAACGTCCCTCAGCAAACACACGCACACTTTTGTGGACAAGCACCAGCCGATCAGAGGTCCAAGCTTTGGCTGACCACCCCAGTCTCTGGCCCTGAAGGCCTGACCCTCACGAGGAGATTCTGCTTCCACATGAAAGGGAGCACTACCAAGAAATAGGAGAACGGAATCACATTTGCTTCAGATTCTGGAAAAACAGCACAGCAAAAAGTGTATACGTGAGAACAAAAGATACTAAAACAAGTGTAGGAAAATACTAAGCATTTACCCTAATTACATCAATATACAGGGGAGGAAAATTAGATCCTTTGCAATCAATAGTTGCATTTTTCTGTTCTCATTTTTTTTCTTTTTTTTGCAAATTTATACTACCAATTCTGGTTGAAACATTTTGCTAAATTATTTACTTAATTTCCACTTTAAAAAATATCAGCTTCCTTTTCTGTAAAATTTCAAAATGTTATGATAGATTTCTTAATATATACTAAAAGTACATTCACGACATAATCAGAAGATTCAGCTTCATATTTCCTAGAAGATCAGTCATCTCTCTACTGATCACATGACATAGACCTGAATCACATTTTTACCAAGGTTTCTACTCTCAGGCAACAAGTCTTACCATCTGGCTGCGTTCGACAGGACTTCCCTCTAGAGGGCTGATCTTAGGGTGACTAGAGAGGCAACGGGGCATCAGAAAACGGTACCTTGCATTCCCTTTTCTTAGGCTCTTCCTTCGACGACCTCTCTTTTTTATCCACGCCACCCCAGTATCTCTCACCATCCAGACAAAAGCCTTCGCTGTGTCGTTTCTCCTTATGTCTCTCCTCGCCTTCCTTGTCAGAGGATGGAGTCCTTGGTTCTTTTGAATACTTCTCTTTTTTCTCCCTTGTGCTGCTTTTTTCTCGATGTTTCTTTTCTCGATCTGGTTCTTTATGCCTCCTGCGTCTTCTTTCACCTTCTTCTTTATAAAGCCAGTACTTAAGAGGATTGTCTTTGCTGTCACCGTACTGCAACTTTGAACGTGACATATGGAAAAAGGCATGAGCACATGAAACACTGTCTTGTACCTGTTACGATAAAGGGGGGAAGCCACAGAACTACCGCTGCCCCTCACTCTTCTATCCTGCTGCAGGCACCCTCCTAAAAACTTAGTCTGGTGACGAGCTTCCGGAAAGGGAAAACCCTCTGATCCACTTCAGATGCTTCAGCCACCCGACCCTACAACAGGACAACAGCGACACTGCAGCCAAGTGTCCTCACCCTGATGTGGGAAACAACATCCAAACTCCTCAGCATGGCAAACACGGCCCTGCACAGTCCAGCCTCTACTCTCCTCTCCAGCCTCGACTTTGTCATTCTTGTCACCCTCTCCCCAATTCCTACACATCCTGAGCTCCATCAACACGTAAGCCCTTCCTGTGACACGTATGTGACTTCTCCAGGAAGACATTAGCTTCTGTGAGCAGCACACCACTGTACCTCTCTCAACAGCGTGTCCCCATCAGTCTATCCCTCCTATCTGCTCCCTCCGACCCAGGTAGATTCTTAAAACTGGGCACCATCGTTTAGACAGTCATCTCTGCAGCCCCCAAACCACTGTAGACACTCAGTAATAACTGGGGATGTCTGTCACAAAGTGGCGTGCTGATAATTTGTAGAACAGGTTGTTAGTATGTAATATTTTTGGCTCAGACTCCCAGTTCTGGGAGCATCATCAACACGCCTCAACGGAGCCCCAAAATGAACTGTCCATTTCCTTTCACTTGAGGTCTCCTCTGCTCACACCCACTTGGTGACCACTGCATTCTTGCTCTACAGTTGGAGTGCTGCTTCTCACAGCCCCTCGTCTCAGGTCCCTGTGGTCCCACTCTCTTCATCCCTCCTGTGGACCACGCAACAGTCCCCCAACTCATCTCCCTTCCTCCAGTCTACCCAACTCCCACTCACTCCACTCATCACTGCCAGGATGAGCTTCCTAATGAAATACACGCTGACAAGCCATTTGACCAAACTCCTCAATGTAAAGTTAGATTACCACCACACTCATCAGAATAAATTCCATGGGGATTAGAGATTTAAGTGTTAAAAGAAGTTATAAGAACTCAGAACAAAATACAGGGGGACTACTTACATAACACTGGTGTGGGGAGAGGGCTCTCTAAGCATAACATCAACAACAGAAATAATGAACAGACAGACTTGACCGCTTCATAATTTTAAACTCACTTGTAAAAATAAAGATTCCACAAGTAAAATTCAAAACAAACAGAAAGCAGCAACATAAATGAGTAGCAGAGAGTTCATCTTGAAAGTACTCTTAAAATTAATACTACACTTCACCAGAAAAGGACACAAACACACACAAGAAGCAAACTCGCCTATAAAACACTCAGAAGTGCCCTTCTCTTCTGAAGTAAATCAGCAAAGATTACAAATCATGATAATGCCCACTGCTGCTCAGGTCATGGGGAATTACACTCTGATGAAATAAATAATTACAGCTTTTATGTAAAGCAAATGGGATACGTTTACATTTACTTTGATCTACTAAGTTCATTTCCAGAAATTAATCAGAAGGAAATAATAATGAATAGATGCAAAAAGTTTACCCCCGGGTGTCTTTATAATAAAAAAAATTTAGAAGCAACCTAAGCGTCCAAAAAAAGCAGACAAGTCAAGAAAATTATGAAACATCCATATCACTGAATATTATATTATGCAACCATTAAAATATTATAGAGAAATACGATAACTTAGAAAAATGCCCAAAATGTATTCAGTTTCAACAGTTTATAAAACAGTAAAAATGCAATTTAAGGGAAAAAAAGTCTATACATACATATATACATATAAACCTGGTAGGATATATACCTAAACATTATCAATAATTATCTCTGAGTGGGGAATCGTTTTTATTTTTCTTCTTATTATTTATTTGTATTTTCTGAATTTTCCAAAGTAACCAAGTATTACTCTTGGAATCGGAGAAACACACTTGCCTACGCGTGGAAAAGTAACTAACTGTGCTTAGTGCTCCAGAACTTTCTCAGGCCTTGAATTATGTGTTACAAAATTCTCCAGAAACACTCCTGAAATAATGCTTCAAGTGTCCTCTCTTTGCACTCTTTGGAAAACCCTTCCTCAGCCTGCTCTGAATACCTTTCTTTCTCGGTATCTTCTTTCTCTCTCTTCGTCTCCTCGTTCAGAGTCTTCATCTCTCCTTTCCATTTCTTCAATTCTTACTTTACTTACTACAAAAATAAAACATATGTTTAACATTCCCAAACTTTAGCACATCAAGAAGATCTCCTCACATCTTGCTGCAGTCTTTATTGTATATACTGCATTATTACAAATTACATATTAACACACATGAAAACACAGTCTTCAATTAAAACACATTCTCCAATCTCAAGAATGGAAAGTTCTAGAATCTAAACATAAAACACAATAAAGAAGGAGAGCACAATGGCAAGTGCTACTGAGGCAACCGGGAAAATGTCAGACTAACCCTGGAAACTCAACAGGGGCATCAGCCCACCTGCATGCCTTCAGAGTGCCTGTGTTGCTGAGAGACGTGCTCAGGGAAACACACCCGGTCCACTGAGAAAAACCGGCCCAGGCAGGCAGATGTTTCCACCAAGTGCTCAGCTGCAAGGCAGTACCCGAGAGGGATGAGCTGGGGAACTGCGCCTGCCCCCACTGCCTCCTGGAGCCCAGCTGCTGAGGGCACAGCAGACGCAGGAGGCCCCTGCAATAAGAAGACCGCCTGCAGCCCACACCACTGGAATGAGGACGAAGCTGGCACCTACCCCACCCCCAACCTGCAATCTCTCCCTGCCAGGGGAGCCCAACAGAGCCACACACCACCACTGATGACGCCTACAGCACCGGCCAAGAGTGAAACACCAGACTTTCACTTCTGTACAGTCAAAGAAGTCATTAGGCTTACTGTTAAGAAAATCAATATTTTAAAAGATGAGGACAAAATTAAACACTCAGATATCACTAGAACAAACTTCATTCATTCAAAAAGTATTCGCCGAGCAATGACCACTTTTCTAGGACCCTGAGGTAAGAGATCAAAACAATGGGGTAGAGGGTTCCCCCGGAGCTCACCCTCAGCAGGGGAGACAGGCGTGGAGGGGTGAGGAAGGCCAGGTTCCAACAGACGGGATGAGAAAGAATGGGTCAGGGTGATCCCAGGTTCCCCGACTGAGGGCAGGAGGACGCAGCTGCCGTCCAGTGAAACGGGGAAAGCTGCACAGAGGAGGTTCTGTGGGGCTCTCAGAAGTTCTGTGTGGGCACATTAAGTCTGCACTATCAAAGTACAGGAGGATATACAGCCCAGAATTCAGGGATGCGGCCCAATTTGGGAGCAAAAACTTGGAACTCGGAGGGGCCAGCCCCGTGGCTTAGTGGTTAAGTGCATGCACTCCACTACTGGCGGCCCAGGTTCGGATCCCGGTCACACACTGACACACCGCTTGTCCGGCCATGCTGAGGCAGCATCCCACCTACAGCAACTAGAAGGACGTGCAACTATGACATACAACTATCTACTGGGGCTTTGGGGAGAAAAAGGGGAAAAAAAGGAGGAGGATTGGCAATAGATGTTAGCTCAGGGCCGGTCTTCCTCGGCAAAAAAAAAAAAGAGGAGGATTGACACGGATGTTAGCTCAGGCCTGATCTTCCTCACAAAAAAAGAAAAAAAGAAATAAATACCATGAACAGCAAAACAAACCTAAAAAGGGGCAATGGATAATAAGATACTGTTAAACTTAATTAGTGGTATCCCGGTTAACCCACAATCCTACCCCTAAGTACACCATGTCCAACAGAAACGCACCTCCTGTTCCTAGAGCCTTATTCAGTACGCTAAGTCTGCAGGCACTGCAATGGCCCTCAGCAGCAGACGGGAGTGGTGGGTAACAGGGACCACGGAAAAAGGCTGTGGCTTCCGTTGTTTCCAAGCCAGGCCCTCAAGCCTTCTGATGATCCTAAGAGTCATTACATATTCTTCTAATATATTCCTTTTTTGTTTATGTTGGCTAGTTTGAATTTTTTATAAGAGGCATATAGTATTTGAATAATAAAAAATAGTGATGATACTTCCATTTTGGGAGGTAAAAAGCATCTACCATTACCTTAGAATTCCTAGGAATTTGGATAAATAATATTTAAATATTGCTTAAAATAAAACTGATACTTTTGAGGAATTATTTTTATCACAGAGCATTATTTTATTTATGATGTGGATTGAGATTTACTCAGATAATAAATCCAAAATACGTTTCAATAGCAAAATTCTAGCAAACAATGAGAAAATTGTTACTCCTTTCATTCACTGAGTTTTTAAAATATCAAAAAGGAAACAACAACGAAAAGTACACACACACACACGCACACATGCAAGTACAACACGGGCCTCTTACTTCAAATCCAAAGCTAAGACATTTACAAAAGCCATGAGAGAAAACAAAAGGATGAGTGAACACTTCAAGAGAGGAGAATGCCCCCAAACAGTAAGCCCTTTTAAAGAGAAACAGAGACATCAAGATGTAACAAACAGCTCAGCAACACTCAGGAGGGAGTGGGAATCACACCAGCTCAAAGGGACTCAACACCAAAGACAGCCTGGCGGGCACACGCGCACCTGCTGGCATCTTGTGCTCAGCTCTCTGCAGGGGCTGCCGGCCTCGCATGTCCCAGCCCAGCAGGTTGTGGTAGGCAGCCGCCTGCCTCAGCTCCTCCCTCCTGGCTCTGCGGTCTTGGTCCTTTTCTCTGTCTTTTCCTCTCCTGTGGGACTTCTCTGCATCCTGCTCTCGGTACTTCTTAAGCTTTCCTCTGTCCCGGTCTTTGGCGTCCTTTTTCCTTTCCCGGGGCTTTTCTCTGTCTCTCTCCCCTGGAGCCGTCTCCCTGAAGGCGTGGCCATCTCTCTCGGCCATCCTCTCTCTGTGTCTGGTGTCTCCGTCGGGCTCCCTGTGTTTGTGCTCCTTGTATTCCAGGACGTCCATTTCTGACTCCTTAGGTGGCAGCTTCTCGCTGTGTTTCTTATCTTCCTTGGGACTAGCTGATTGTGCAGCCTAAACAAGAAAAAGAAAGCAGGCTTCTGAACGTGAGGGTCATACTCACTGAAGGATCTTAAAATACACTGGCTTCAACTGCTTTCTATCCCAGCAAGATGGGCCTGGACGAAGAGTCTCCAAACCCACAGAAAGTGGAGTCAGACTTAGCATTTCTGCTGAGAAATGCCTGTCTTCTCAGACACTAACCACCTGGGTCCCAAAGAACAAGGACCCTCACTATGAAACTCCCAGGAGGCCTCCAGCTCAACTCCCAGCCCCTCCACACAGGCACACGGACCACACACACACTGCACACACCACACGCATGTACACACACCGCCACAGACACACACAGCCTGCACAAGCCCTGAACTACAACAGAACCCAATTGAGCTGGTGGGTGCCATGCAGGGCTAGGAAACCCTACCCCACAGCGGTTGGGAGCTATCACCCACACGGCTTTACTCTGAGGGAGCCCACAGACACAGAGCCGGACAGTGCTGAGAACCAGGTCAAACTGCCCAAGACCATCCAGGGTCCAAACGGAGCCCAACCCAAACCTTTAAAATACAATACCCAAAGGTGTTTTCTGAGGTCGTCTGCTTTCCAAGTATCATCTTTGGATCTTCTCTAGAAAAAAAAGTATAAAGTTAGAATTTTAAAGTGTAACGTATCTAATTTTGTACATTCTACTGAGCTTTTTCATTAGGCTATTTAAGTCGATGGCAATTGGTGCTTGATATGCAAGAAATGACTGTCTATCGACGATAACAAAAGGCAATAGAAATGCAGACTTTAAAAAATTACCCACTAGTCTAAAATTTCCTATAAATGATTATGGAATGTGTGCCTTTGGCTACTTCATCATGTAAACCTTCATGCTGCTTCAAGGCTCAGCTAAGCCTAGGTAAAACGCACTCCTCACCTTCCCCACATCACCCACAGCCGGCCTGCCAGCGCCTGCTCCTGAGACAGGAAAAGGCAGGAAAAAAAAAAACTGTCTCTTGAGCAGCAGGCAGCGCAGTGGCAGGATGCAGCTGTCATCCAGCATCTGGGATTAACCATCGGCCAGAGACTCACAAGTTCCAGAAACTCCATGCTCCACGAACATACTCCCGCTTGTCTAACATCCCCTCCCCTTGCCTAACACCACCCTCTCCTTGACTAACACCACCCTCCCCGTGCCTAGCTAATCAGCGGTCTGGTCACCAGCTTGGTGCCTGGCCTACAGGAAATGGCCACCTGGCCCGGAGACTGACACCAGTCCCCAGCTGCCAACCCAACTCTCGACTTCAAACTGACCAGTCCCAGCTGCCCACTTCAACTACTATAAATCAGCACCCCAGATCCCTACTCGGGGCTGGTCAGCCTGGCCTGCTTTCCTTCCTCAGTTTCTTTCTAATCAGCCTGGCTTTTGTCTCTCAAATAAACTTGCATAATCTCTCCTGACCCGCTCTTGAATTCTTTCTGCGCAGGTCAAGAACGCACACCAAGGGCTGGGTCTCACAAGGGATGCCCGTCCCACCCAGTGGGGTATCAGTCCCTCCTCCCAACAGTGTCTCTGGCTGCCTGATGAGCAGATGCCTCCGCAGCATTCCTGCCTGGCAGCTGCCCTCTTCCAGGACCCTTCACACATACAGTGGATAACAACGGAACGGTGCAACTCAACCAAGAGAGCCTGTGCTGCTGGAAGAGACGATGACAGAGCGGAAACCCTCTGCAGGGTTGCAAAGGCTGCAGCCAGGAATGCGAAGAGTAAATATGTCAGAAAACCCACCCGACTGGGCTTCTTAATGGTTGTAATTACATTACTCATGAAGTAAAAACCCTGAAGGCAACAAACCTCCAACAGAGACCACAGGGATCCCTCTTCTGCCTCTCTAGTTTTCACCAACAGAAACCGAGCTTCAGACACTTAAAATTCAGGCACCAACACTGCTTAGTCCTGAAGCTTTCCTTTCTTTCCTTTTTCTCTCTTTTACATTTCTCAGGTTATAAAATGACACAGAGCTCCTTCCTGCCCCCTCACAGCCCCCAGTATCACACGTATTCCCAGAAACTATGCACACCTGGCATGTGCATGGACACAGCGCTTCAGATAAGGGGCCTAACTTGTTTACCCTCTGCTCTGCCAAGGTCTTTTAAAGACCCAATCGACCGACATTTCAGCCCCTTCCCTGGGGAGGTGGGCAAGTTAAATTAAAATGGACTCTCCAGGGCCGGCCCGCTGGCGCAAGCAGTTAAGTGCGCACGCTCCGCTGAGGCGACCCAGGGTTCACCGGTTCGGATCCCAGGCGCGCACCGACGCACTGCTTGTCAAGCCATGCTGTGGCGGCATCCCATATAAAGTAGAGGAAGATGGGCATGGATGTTAGCCCAGGGTCAGTCTTCCTCAGCAAAAAAAAAAAGAGGAGGATTGGCCGATGTTAGCTCAGGCTCACAAAAAAAAAAAAAAATGGACTCTCCAAGCACAAAGTAGAAAGGTAGCATTTTCCCTCATTTTCAGAGAGGAATAAACCACATCCTGAAAACAGACAAAAACTCCAGAGAGCTGCCTAAACAGCAAACCTTCAACCTGTAGGATCACTCAATTCACACTCAAGGAAATGTGGGAATTAAACTCCATGGAGTTCACCATCCACACTAAGAGACCCCAGACAAAGTGTCCACTGTGCGTAAGATGGACAGAAAAAGAGAGACAGCAACTCCCAGAGAGAGCACCTGGTGTACCAACCAGCATCTCACACGTCTGATCTCATAAATCAGCTGAACTAATACCTATCATGACAAAACTCTCCAGAGAACTGTACAGAAAGAACCCTAAACAATTTTAAATCCCTTTCCTCTGCCTCCAGAATAAAGTGGGTTAAACTGACTTAACAGAGGAGGTGTTACCACAGGCACAGCCCCAGCCTCCAGTGAGCCCCTCAGGCCGCATGCGCCTTGCGCCCCGCTCTTCCTAGGCCACGGCTCTTTCATCTTGGCGTCTACATCACTATGTGGAAGACTTGAGACGATCTTGTCAGTCTCTCTTTACTCTACTCACCATGTTTATTCTTGAGCCAGACTCAGAGGCAGTAAAGGCACAGCCTCACTCTCGGGGTCATGCTGGCGGTGGGGGTGTCCAGGCAGCCCCTCTGGTCCTGCTTCCCTATTTTGAGAAAAGCAGTTTCCCCAAAGCATGCGGATCCCTGGAATATCACGTCCCACCAAACAGCTCAACCACCTGGACCTGCCGCCAAACCCCTGGGTGGACGTAACTCCCACCAGCTGCACGGACTCAAGCAAGACACTTCTGGGTGTCCTGGCTTGGCAGCACTGTGATTCCCTCTTGCCTTCAACAGCTGAGCAACCGCTCACTCGCCAAAAGCTAAAGCTAAATCTCAGTGTAACCAGGTAGTTGCATGTTAACAAACGCTCATAAGAGTCAAGTTGTTTTGTTTTCCATAAACTGTTTGAGAACAGCTATCATGGGTTTTAAACCTCGGGCTAAGCACCCTCTCCCTCAAGATTTGTCTCCCTGCATCTCAGCACGCTGGAATCCGCGGCTGGGCTGCTGCCAAGACTGGCCTGGTGGAAGGGGCATCCACACTCCACTCTCGGATCAGATACAATCCATCACCAAGTCCCACTATTTCTTCTCTTAACACATTTTCCTAAACCCATTCTTCCCGTCCAGGCCCTGCCACAAGCCCAGCCCAGACGTTCATGCACTGGCAGTCATGTCTCCCAACTGTGTCTCCTAACATCTGAGACATGGTGTCCGGCAAGACACCAGCAACAACTCCCAGAGTCACAGGTGGGAGCGCACAGGGCCACTGCAGGCCACAGGAGGGTGTGACCCACCACCCTAGAGGGTGACAGACGAGCACACTTGCTAAAAGACCCAAAGAGGGTGAGGCTGGTTCACACACAGCTTTAAGACTGAGACATACTTTACCTTTGCCTGTCTTAATTTTTTTTAATTATCCATTATATTAGAATTTTTTTAATTATCAAATTCAATTCAAATTCAAAATAGGAAAAAATTATTAAATTTGGCCTATTCTGGTTCTTGGTTGCTCTTCATTCTCGTTATTATTCATTCTCTTCATTCAGTTACTGTGTAACTGATGGGTCCCTGGCAGTGAGGTTGCCGGGGAAGAAAAGGGAAACTAAGTGAGATTACCGATTTCTCCACTGCTTATTCCCTGCAATCACTGCTCGTTAACACACCACAGTTTGCTCACCATTTGGCTGAGAATAGGTAGCTCGTTTCTAATATTCCAGATAACGAACACTGGGTTTTGGTGTGCTGTATCTGCAGAAAGGAGTCCTACTATGGGGACGCTGCGTCAGCTCTGACAGCACTGAGTCTCCTGTGCAGATGAGAGGCTGACCTCGGACTGAGTCCCTTCTAGACGTGGCTGCAGATGAGCAGTGTGGGGAGGGGTCAGAGACCAACAGCCCAACACTAGCTGACTATCAACAGCAGGGGAGAGCTGAGCCCCATCCTCCTCTGTGCAGGGGCAACTGGGCAGGTCAAAGGGAGCAGCCAGCGAAGAGAAAATCACAGAGGGGTTGTCAGTGTAAATGCACCCAGGCCAGCCGTGTCTGCGGCTGGCAGCTGTCCAGTCAGGATCCCACCCTCCCACAAAGACTGGGAGGCAGAGGCCCCATCCTTCCTGAAGACTCCATTTCCAGGACAGCTCTTGGGTCCTTGAAAAAGACACTCTTGGGCTGTAGAGACACACAGATATCTCAAAGGGACAGAGGAAGGATGTGCAATTGCAAATGCCCTAAGAAAAGGGAGCAGGCCTACCCAGGCTTTGGCCCAACAAACTGTTATTCTTCTGACAGCCCCAAGCTTTCCCAGAGGGGAACTCAAAGATGGCTGGGTCGTCCCAAGGATGTGACCTTGGCCTGCCAGAAGCCAGCTAAACCTTGGTCAAGGTTCGTGCAAGAGAACCCCACAAGTGGGTTAGTGAAAACCAACCCTTGGATTTACCTGAGAACATTCAGCCTTTCTAAAAACAGAATGAACAGCACTGCACCGACCTAAACAGTCGACACTAGTTCACAGTGAACTGCTACAGCACAGTTTGTATTTCACAGCAACGTTTAAAAAGAAGGGTAGGAATGTATTTTCTTCTAGAGATAACCTAAATACAAACATATATACATATGTATTACATCTTTCAAGCTATAAGTAATAAATTTCATGATAACAATAAACTCACACATTACCAATCATTTGGTATGTAACAGAAAAACTTAGAAATTTCTAAAATTTTTGTGGAGCATAAAAATTAATAAAAGTCAAACACCGTAAGCAAGGTAACTAAAGTGTTTTTAAAGAACTACCATTGAAACACTGCCACTACTCTTCTCAAGCAGGTGTAACGCCTGCAAACACACCATTAAGTTTTAGTTGCCTAAGAATAGCTATGTAATACTGAATCTTGGTATGATCTTACTACAAATAAAGAGCACAAAACTGCTTATATTAGTGATGGCAGTTACATGAGCAAAGAAGTATACTGACACAAGCCAAGGTAAAGCTTGGTACGTCACAAACGTTATATTAAACAATACCAGGAAGTCCAGCACAGTTTTATTCCAATCCCCTCATGGAGCCTTTATCCTTCCCTTTACTCTATGAAACAAACTACACTAATTAATTCTATAACACTATAATCATTACATAATTAGGTTCTAATGACCAGTAGGTTAAACTCCTAAAAAGTTAATGACCAATTTGCAACTGAGCACCTAACATAGGTAGGTATTCATTAGCTGCCAGGAAATATCCAGCCCTGAGGTCGTTGCTTTTGCTACTCTGAAATATTTACGTAATAAAAATGTATGAGAGGGGGCCGGCCTCGTGGCTTGATGGTTAAGTGCTTGCGCTCTGCTGCTGGCGGCCCGGGTTCGGATCCCGGGCACGCACCGACACACCACTTCTCCGGCCATGCTGAGGCCGCATCCCACATACAGCAACTAGAAGAATGTGCAGCTATGACATACAACTAACTACTGTGGCTTTGGGGGGAAAAAATAAAATAAATAAAATCTTTAAAAAAAAAAAAATGTATGAGAAAAAAACCCAAAGATAATCAAATTAAGGCAAAATGTATGAAAAACACAAGAGAGAAAAGATCTCTGTGGGATCTAAGAGACAAACACACATCTGATGGCGATATTTGATTATTGATAAAAGATGGGGTGGCTGAAGAGCCCTGAGGAATTTCAGTGCCTGCTCTGGAATCTCCCTTAGCAGTTAAGAACAAGGGCTTTGCAAACAATTCAGGGAGAGACCTGAGAGAGAACCTGAGCTACCCAACAGCAGAGCAAACTCTTGCTGTTCAAAACACTTACTGTAACTAATCTGGTACTTCATTCATAAATATGAAAGGTCAATAAGGCATTTGAGAAAAAGCCAACATAAGAAGAAAAAAATCAAGATAAACAAATAGAGAAAATGACCCTAAAAGAAAAATGATCCAAGAAAATAAAGAGAAATCTTTATTTTAAAAAAAAAGGCACATAAATAATACCCTCAAAAAGATTTTTAAAATATTATACGCACAAGTTAAAACATACACTACAAAAAAGAGCAATATGAGAACAAGAAAGAATTCTTGATGTTAAAATTAAAACGAACAAAGCAAAACACTAAGTAAATGAAGCTAACAATGAAGTTGGAGAAATCGCTCAGAATATAGGGAAAAAAGACAGAGATGGAAAATATGAGCCATGAGGTCAACATCTAACAGGAGACTGAACAAGAGTTCCAAAAAGAAAGAACGAAGAAAATAATAGAGAGAAATACAGAACAGAAGAAAGTATCCTAGAAGTGTAAGTAGACTTGAGTCTTCATTTCAAAAAGGATGATCAAATGTCAAAAATAATGAATGGAAAAAGACCCACGAAAGACACACTGCTATATATGTCCAAAAGAGCCTAAATCTGGAGAGAAAGAAAATGTTGCTTACAGAATATCTCATCAGCCAAACTGACCGCTAGACAACAAAAGCAGAATGCCTTCAGAGTCCTGGGGAAATTATCCTGACCCTAGAATTCCATGCTGAACCAACTCTCAGACAAGTATGTCAGTATAACAAAGACTTTCCTAGAGTGTAAAATTTCCTTCCTACACACCCTTGTTGAAAAAGGTATTTGAGGATTTACTCCAGGGGGAAAAAAAGAGGGGATTTCAAAAAAGATGATGGCACTGGATGCAAGAAACAGTAGACCTAAGCCAGCAGTAGAAAGAAATTCCCAAATGACACCTCTGCAAACGTCTACAAAACAATTAGCCCTGATTAGAACAGAAAGTCAGTGAGCTCTGGGTAGAAGGTTTTTAAAGCAGATTTCATCAAACAGACAACAGGACTGATTAATAAGCTAAAAGATACAAGTGATAAGGTTAAAAAAAATCATATGTTCTTTTTTGCCAAAAAGAAGACAAATAGAAATATAGGAAAATCAAAGGGCCATTTAAGAAAGACACGGTCCAAATATGAAGTAAAGTACATTGTGGTACAACTAACTGACTATAAGAAAAGATGATCTCTGACCCTGACGCCAGGAACACTTTTCTGAGCAGCGCTAGTGGAGAGACACAGGACTGCTTTTTCTCTTTGGTCTAATCATACCACCTAGTTCTGCAGTGAATACTGCTTATATAATCATGATACTATAGTGTTTACTGGTTTTCAATTTTAAAAATCAACCTATTTTAAAAATCAAATCAAAGAAAGCTTAAGTTACAGAATAACAAAAAATGTAAGGGAATGTTATAGAAGATGACAGAGGTCAGGAAGTTGGTGGGCTTAAAGATAAATGGAAGGTAGTGTAGGACACCAACTTTCTAATTGTAGCCAGCAGGAAGTTAAAAGATACTATCAAAGTTGATATAACACAAAATACAAATAAAGAATATTATTCAACATTATAAAAGTAAATGATAGAAAAAAAACAAAAATAATAGAGAGAAGGGAAGGCAGGAAGAAATGTATACAAACTAAATTCCTCATCTTTTAGTGAGGAATCAATAGACCACAAGAATAACAATAGTTAACATTTATTGAGTGTTAATAACACTGTTCTAAGCACTTTTTTAAGCACTTTTACATATAAAATATCATTTAATCCTCATAAACACCCTACTATTATCCTCCGGACTGTTTGAACCAGGAAATAAGATATGTTAAGTAACTTCCCCAAGGTCATACAAGTAAATACAGAAGCCAGAATTCAAACTCAAGCAACCTGAGTGCAACCTCCACCTCTGAAGCTGTGACAAGTGACTATTTAAATTAGTTAAAATTGAATATAACTTCAAGTCTGGCTCTCGTCACAGCAGACACATCTCTAGTGCTCTGGCAGCACAGGTGTGGAAGCTCTCCATCAACACACAGCACGACCACACTCCGCTCTGCACTCCGTTCTCTCCAGTATATGTATGCGTCTAAAATTGCTAAGTCCAGAAATAAAGGCATAAGCATAATATTTAGGATATCAGTGGTAACCGCGAGTAAAACTAAAAATAAAAGATAAAAATCGTTAACCTCCTACAATGTAAAAGAAGACTTTAAAATTCTGTACCATTCAACATTATTTGGGCTTTTAAAATCATACAAATACTTCCTACTCTCGTCCTAACGCGGCTCCGGGGGCACCGTCTCCCTGGCCAGCCAGGCAGCCTCCGCTGAGTGGGCAGCGAATCCAGCGGGGCGCACGGCCGCCCAGTGAGCGGAACTGGGCGAGTGGGACCAATTAACTCAGTTCAGCAGCTTCCCGCGGTGTCCGCCCCGCACCCACGCCGCTGCCGGCCCAGGAGCCGGGATGGGGCTTCAGGACGCCGCCGGACACAGGCCCCGAGGGCAGGACGCGCCGTCCACACAACATGGCCGTCCACGCCGCCGCACACTGGGCCAGCGCCGAACCCCCGCACCCACCTTCCCGGGCTCCATCGCGGCTCGCAGGCCCGGGCGGCCCCGCTTGCCTCGGCCTGGCCAGGCGCGGCCGGAGGAGGCGGCCCGCGACACCCGCACCCTCGGCCAGGCCGGCGTACCCGACTCCTAGCAACCGGCAGGGGGGAGCAGCAGAGGGCCGAGCGATCGCTGGACCAGCATGCCCCGCGGCCGACTCCTAGCAACCGGCAGGAGGGAGCAGCGGAGGGCCGAGCGACTGCAGGCCCGGCATGCCCAGTGGCCGACCGCAGCCCGCGCCTGCGCTCCCCTGACTCCTAGCAACCGGGAGGGGGAACAGTGGAGGGCCAAGCAATCGCTGGACCGGCATGCCCTACGGCCGACTCCTAGCAACCGGCCGCTGGGAGCAGCGGAGGACTGAGCGACCGCAGGCCCGGCGTGCCCGAGCCAAGCCCAGTGCGCCTGCGCCTTCCCGACTCCTAGCAACCGGCAGGGGGAGCAGCGGAGGGCCGAGCCCTCGCTGGCCTAGGGCGCTCTCGCCCAAAGGCAGGGGGACGTGGAAGGCGGCTTGGCAGCCTGGCTGTGCCGCCACCAGCGACTTTTCGTTTGGGTTGGGAGCACTGTTGGGGGCAGGGGGTTGCGCACCAGCTGTGTTGTTAGGTTTGGGTTGGGGCTACCCTGGGGGTGTTGACCTTAAACAAATAGCCAGTTATTTCTCCAGCAAAATGGATTTATTTGGGATCAAAAAAGAATTATAATTTGGGGTCTGCAACCATGGCAGCCAACACAAGTGTTGATACCCGTTCAAGACAAGGTTGATGTGAGGGAAGCCATATCGTGGAAAAGAAGTCATATTGTAACTTTGAGTGACCTCTGACAAACTAACCCAGCTGGATATGCACCCTCTGGGAGATCTAACTGCTCTGTAGAATTCACCACTCCTGCTTGTGCATGTACCTCCCAGCTGTGATAAGATGATAACTTGGTTCTTTTGAGTTCCTGCGGAATGTGATGACCCCCCCAAACAGAGAGTCATGCTGATAGCCATCATCAATGAAAACTGAAAGATCTGGTGTGGCACTCCCAGTCTGTAACACCAGAGGGTCCACATTCCTAACCCCCTCCCCTGTAACCCTATATAACTGCTGTAAGATTTTGTGCCCACTTAAGATGATTCTCTGAGACATTAGTTGGCCATCTTCTCCCTCGCTAGCAAGCTGTAATAAACTGCCCTTTCTTTTCCACCATCTTGCCTCTTGATGATTGGCTTTTGTCTCCCAGAGAGCAGATGGTGCCCTTTGTGCCGTAATAGTGTGAGTGAGAAGGGGAGGAGAAAACTTAGAGAAGGGAGGAGGAAGTTGGGGGACTACTGTAAACAAAGAGTTTATTGGAGGATTGGAGAGTTGGACATGTAGTGGCTTTTCCTCGTCTGAGTAGTGACCGTGTCTCCTCGGCTGAGCCCTTGGCCTCAGGCAGAGGAAGTCTGTCTTCTTCTTGTTGGGCTCTTCGGCCTCCTGACCTCATTTTAATGAGGTTTCTGATTATTAATTTCCAGGGGCGCTGGGTCCCCTGCCCTGTTGGCGTTAGGTTTGGGTTGGGGGCATGGGGGACACTAGTGGCCCAGATCTCCAGGCGCAGAGAAGGCTGGGCTGACCTTGCAGGGCAGGCAGCAGGACCGAGCTGACATCATCACCAGATATCCAGAGCTACAATGAGGAAACTGAGGCACTGAGTCTACTGCTCCTTACCCAGCTACAGCATAACCTCAGAGACCCGCTGACAAGTCCAGGAAAAGGAGAGTGTTCAGGTGCTGAAACAGCATCTGAAAGCAACCTCACATCCCACCTTTTAAAAGCAAGAAAATTAAGGCCCCCAAAATTTAACTTAGCAAGTTCACAGTCAATAATGAAAAGAGCTTTTCATCTGTATAAGGCTTTGCACTTGACAAATTATTTTCCCATATGTTGTCATTTGATAAAACAGTCTGTACCACGGGCCCTCTAGGACCAGTTCAAACTGACCCTATCTTATCAACAGAAGGTTTCTCAGGGGCAAGCCAAAAATTTGCAAGTCATGTAGCCAGAGCATGCGTAAAGGAGAAAATCTTAATCTGAAATGACCCCAGAACCAAAGATTCTCCCCACCAAGGAACCAGAGGACCAGGACATGCCTGGAACTTGAAAGTCGGACTGTCATCAGAGGCAAAGGGGCCCGCTGTCTAGGAAGATCCGGTGTTAAAGCCCCTTCCACACCTTACCATAAATGTTTAAAGCCCTCCAATCAAAACCTGCCCTGCCAGCATATCTGAGTACCAGCCTTTTCTCCCTAACCTCTTAAATTCCACCCCAAATCCTGGACTGGGGAGATAGATTCGAGAGCTTTTGCCTCCGGTCTCCTTGCAGGTCAACCTTAAAATAAAGTTTTTCTTTTTTCTCAAAAGCTGATGCCATAATAATTGGCCCTTTATGTGTATCAGGCAAAAGAACCCCATCTTTGTGCAGTACCACCACCCTGTAAGATTAGTAGGAATCAAGAAGTATTTGAAAAAGTAGTTGTTGAAAGAATGACTGTTTTTATACCAAACAAAAGACAAGAGACAAATATTGTGCATCTCAGATTTATTTTATCAAAATTATTTTATTTGGAGATTAAAATAAAAGCCAATCTTAAATACACAAGACTGGAGAGGTGTAGGTCCTATTCTAATGATGCACATTATAACAGACATTTAGCTATGTTTCCACAACTGTTTTGCATTTGTTTCAGTATGCAAATGTTACTTAGAAAAGAGTCCACTTAATGTTTTCACAATAAAAAAGAATAGACTCTCAAATCATATGTTAAGGAGTACATCAGTGAGCATCTTATTAATAGTCTATGCTTTTTTTTTTTTATAATTTTATTTATTTCTTTCTTTTTCCCCAAAGCCCCAGTAGATAGTTGTATGTCATAGTTGCACATCCTTCTAGTTGCTGTATGTGGGACGCGGCCTTAGCATGGCCTGAGAAGCAGTGCGTCAGTGCGCGCCCGGGATCCGAACCCGGGCCGCCAGCAGCAGAGCACAAGCACTTAACCGCTAAGCCATGGGGCCGGCCCTAGTCTATGCTTTTGATATCATGGTTTTTCTGTAGATACAAAATTTATTTTGCAGACATAGTTTTGATTCACATACTATTATGAACCAGTTTACAATTTTAAGGATCTGTCTACTTTGCTCCAGATACAAAGGCCATTTACTCAGCTCTGTGCCTTAGAGAAATTATTAACAGATCCAATAAGCCTTTTACAATTGATTATACTCTGGTTTGGGACATATCACTACTACCTTTTTCATTTCCACTCATCAGCACTTAGGAGGAACATAAGACAAAAAGAAGATAGGAAAGGTAATTTCAGTGATAGCTACAATTTATTCAGGGACTGCTCCAGAAGAGGCACCAAACTAACTTTCTGTTCGGTAATTCATCTAATTCTCATAGCATCTCATGTGAGATAGGCATGTTACTGTTTTTCAGATGAGGAGACTGAGAACCAGAAAGGTTAATTCACTTGCCTAAGGTCACACAGCTAGGCTGGTGGCTGGTCTGATGCCAAAGTTCATCCTCTTAACCACCATGTCACTCTTTGTCAGCTGAGAAAACAGCTGATACTGGAAAAGCTTCAGAGTCTTTGTTGAATATGAGGATAAAGTCAGGCACATATACGCTGCATGAGTGACCTGGGCGTGGCCCTTAAAGCCCCCCCCCCACCTCCCAAGGGCAATCCAAACTCTCCTCAAGATAATTATGTCTTGACTCTCCAGACCAGTCCACCCTCCATTGCAGCCAGTCACCTAACACGTGAATCTCACGTCCCTCCCTGCTTCTGTCTCCACCCCAGCTCTCACAGAGTTGCATTCTTTCATCACCAAACAGGAATAACCTAGAGTTCCCCAAATGCACCAGATTCACAGGCTTTGCAAATATTATTTCCTCTTTCTCACTATCCCCCACCATATTTGCCAAGTAAATGGATTTACACCTATTAAGGAAGCTAAAACAATCTTTCTCTCCTCAGATTTCTTAAAACAATTTTCTAAATAACTCATTGGCCAATCAATTACATTTTATCTTGTAATATTTCTTCTATCTTTATTTATTCCATAGATTGGCTTACTGAGTTCATTTGATGACCTGGGGACTGATAAAATGTTAGAGATAGAAAGCTAAATAAAACACTTTCTGGACCTCTAGTACTCATAATTGCTGGAGAATGAAATATGCATACAACCATTAAATAATGTGAAAGCATAAGAGCCACTCATAAAATGCAGTGCATGAGGAAGTGACAGAGGTCTGCCTGGAAGGAAGGAATGAGGTCAGGAAGAGCCTCACATCAAATGGAACTCGAAGCACAAATACGAGGCAGAGAGGCTGGGAAAGAACATTTTGAGGGATAAACAAATATGGGTGCAAGCTCAGAGGGAGGCAGGGGTTTGGAGGGCTCGGGAGATGCAATAACTGACTGTGTCTATAAGAGCACCATCCAGTAGAAATACAACTCAAGCCGCATCAGTAGTTATAAATTATCTAGTACCCACACTTTAAAAAGTAAGAAGAAACAGACGAAATCAAATTTAATAATATATTGTATTCAGCCAAATGTATACAAAATGTTATTTTATCGTATATATTATGACGTTATTTTACACTTTTTTTATACTGTCTTCAAAATCAGGCATATTTGAACAGGACACTTGTTCCTTTCTCCCAGTCAGCTTCACTCCTACTCACCCTGGAGCCTTAGCTCCAGCAGCCCTGTGCAGAGAGCCTCCCCTGCTTACCTTTGTTATCAAGTTCTCCCATACTCTCTTTCCTGTCATTTAAAAATTTACGTCCATCTTCCTCACTAGACTATAAACTACCTTATAATTTCAGGTTATGATAAAAGCAAAACCATTTTCCACAGTAATAAACTACTTTGTTACAAAGGTCAATGAGCCTTCCTCTCCCAACCTCTTTAGTTTTCGTAGTCACATAAATACAGTGTCACTGTCATGTCCATGTATGCGGGTATGATGCAAAACCTACCTCCAGTGTTAGCTAACGTGCTGGTGAGAAGGCTGAGTCCTGAGCTCCTGTCCCTGACCAGCCTCACTAGCTGTGTAAAATTGGGCAGTTTGTTTTACTACCTTGTGCTTCAGTTAGCTCTTCAGTAAAAGGGGG